CCTCCCTACTCACCACACCTGATATACACTATCCCCCACTCTCCCCCCCACCCCATCCCCTCTAACTGAACTGACCAGGCTTGGGGCAGACTGTTCTCCTTGTCCCTGTGGGAGGCCTTCCTCAGCTTGACCACGTCCCCGTCCGAGGAGAGCGCGCTGGACAGAGTGGACAGATGACCGTCCGTGGAGCTGACCAGTGAGCGTGGGGCTGTCACGTGCTTGGAGCCGGCAGATTGGGTCAGGCCGCCCAGGAGGGAGGGTTCGCTGGCTGGTAGGGGGAGAAGACAAGAGATATAATCTGTGTTATATATTTGTGTATACAAGTATACGAAATTGTTTCACTGTTTCAGGAAGCAACATCCCTGCATTCTGGACATGTCCATTGATGCTCCGTTGTAATATACGAAAGTGACAGGCAAATTTCATTCTTGGACAAACAATGTGGAAACAAGCATTTTGTAGAATATTGTATCAACAGGCAAGTTTGATGGAAAGAGAGGCAGAGGCGGACAGAGAGAAAAGATACTGGAAAGATACTGGAAAGTTGACAATATGGCTGGGAACAGCAAGAACAACAGACACCATCGCTGCAACGCAAGACAGATTGAAGTGGAGGTCCATGATCGCCCACGCCAGTCGGCAAGGCACCGGATGATGATCATGATGGTGTGTACAGATTATTATTTAATACACGGAGAGAGAGGAGGGAGGGGCGAGACAAGAGAGAGGAGTTTACATTACACGCAATACACAGGGACAGGGGTGGAGGGAGGGAGGGTTCGCTGACTGGGTGAGGTTTTGGAACAGGGTGTGAAGGGTGTATTAATTGTTCGGGGTAGGAATTCTGTCACCATCTTCCCCATTTCCACGCCCTTCCACAGACACAAGAGGACATCAAGCCACAAAGAACCGGGTGCTTTTCAATAAATCTGTATGTAACATAGGAATTCGCCGTTACCTGTAGTCCAACCAGACTGCCCGAGACCGTCTACCGGTTAATGAAGCTATGAATTCACAAACCGAAGACAAAGAAGCAGAGATGATAATACTATCCCCCC